GTATGAATTTTTAAAATTCTGCTTGTTTTTAAAGAATAAATTTTCTTTTAATAGAATAAAAAGTACAAGTGAATTTGTTTTACGTCAAAAATTAAACTTTGGTAAAGATTTACATCAATGACCAATAAATCAAATTAAAAGACATGATTTCTAAAAATATTTTGTAATAATCAACAATGTTTTTTAACGGCTCATGTAGTCAATTGGTATATGGGCAATAACTTGAATGCATGTTATTTATATATTTTGTGGGTGACACTTATCTACCTGTGACATATTGCTGTATGTACAACTGAATTGTTAACCATACAAAAAACTCGGTTTTTTTATTTAATGCATAATTTTTTTAATCAATCGACTATTTATTTCTAGAGGAACCATCCATGTTAATACCCCCCTTCTTTTTCTCTCTTTTTTTAAATTATAATATTTTTTATTAATAAAAAAAAAATCAAAGAAAATCGAGAGGAAGAAAAGGTGAAATAGAATATCAATAATATTTAATAAAGAAAAAGCACCATTAATAATTTAATAAATCATGGCTCGAAAAAAAGATAAAACTGCTACTGGTGATGGTGGTGGTGAAGATAAAGTAGACCTTACCACAATACAACAACCAATCTCCATAGATATTATAACATCAACGCTAAGAGAGCGTTATCAACATGACTTGATTTATACTCGAATAAATTCTTCCGCACTAGTTTCAATAAATCCTTACAAAATATTGCCCCTTTTTAATGATTCAACTGTACAAGAGTATGTTGCTGATTATAAAGACTCCTCGGGACAAAGAACTTCACCACCCCCGCACGCTTTTCAAATTGCTTCTCAAGCATATTTACATATGCGAAGAACTGCTGAAGATCAGTCTATCATATTAATGTAAGTAAGAAACAAATAAAGATAAAGTTTGCTATTATTATTTTTATAGCATTTGTTTGTTTGTTATTACAAAAAGCAAAAAGGAAAATAATGAATTGATGTTCAAAATTTGTTGATCTTTGTTCTCATAAAAAAACCAATTGATTATGAAAATTCTTTTTTCATTGGTTTTATTATTATTATTCATCTTCTTTCCTAGAATTCATATACATATAACACATGTGCATGTGTTATACATGCATGTATGAATATACATATATATCAGGTCATATATTAATTAATTTCTATTTATTTTTTTTTTTTTAATTATATTTAGCGGTGAATCTGGTGGTGGTAAATCAGAAGCTCGTAAACTTTTAGTTAAAGAACTCATTGCATTAAGCTCACATCAAAAAAAAGAATCAAGAATTCAAAATCAAGTTCCTGCTTCAGAGTTCATTTTGGAATCATTCGGTAATGCAAAAACATTAATAAATAACAACGCATCACGCTTCGGTAAATACCCGAATTAAAATATGATCATGAATTGTATCAGTGAGTTTTACTTGAAATTAAGGCTGATAGCCAAAGTCCTAAATTTTGGGGTTGGGAAAGAATAGAGGTGCTGACATCGTTTCTTTTGAGTTGTATTTGGACAAGAAAATACTGTACTGTTAACCTATTACATTGAACCTCGAAGGAATTAATTTGTGTAACAAAAAATGTGATACAGTTTTACAAAATCATCACCCCTACTTTGTCTTCAAAAAATACAATCAAATCAATATATACATAGTCTATTTATAGAAACAACAAATATGTTAATCAAATCTTATTAAAATTAATTAATTTTAAAAGATTAAACAGTTAGTTTGTAAAAGTCAAGGATGGTTAGTATTAACTTGTGGTATATAAATTTAATTTTTAATATTAATATCCTGTTAATTAATATTTGATATATTAAACTAATATGATATAAATAGTATAGATTAATTAAAAATTTTAAAATAGAAGACTATCATATTAATATATACCTACTAATACCTTTTTTAAATTGTCGCACATTCTTTCCGCATATATGCAATTGAACAAGCATTAGGAATATTATTTAAATTATTATTATTTAAATATTTTACAATTAAAGTTAAAAAAAAATTTTTTTTTTTTTTTTTTGAGGGAAAAAAAACTTAAACACAACGTTTTACTACCAATCAATAATGTATGTATTAAGGATGGTAAAATTTTTAAAAATTTGCAGTTTATATGTCGATTATAATGGCAATTACAGTATATATATCCTGATAGTAATATATTTGTGTATCAGAATCATGCTATTTTTCTTAAGGCTACTAACTCTTTTCACCAGATGAAACACCATCGTTCTTTTATTATTATTATTATTGCCGTTTCTCGTCCAAATGTGATGTCATTGTCATTGTATTTATTGTTGCTATTATGTAATATTACTCGTATTAGTTTCGTTCATAGCAAACGCCCGATCACTGGTTTGTTCTTTATATTTATAATGTTGGTGGTTTAACCGGTTTTTGAACTTTTGAACCATTAATAATTATAACTGGTTAAGTGACGCTGCTGATCTGTGTTCACACGTTGGCTTAAAGGTAAATATGAGAATCATATTTTACAATAAAAAGACATCGAGGAATCACTAATCTTTATATGAAAATTAGAATGATGATAATGATCACATATAAACAAGATGAAACAAGTCTGTTTGAAAAAAATCATTATTATAAATAATAAATGATTGTTTTATTTTCACTCCCCCCCACGAAAGATGATCGGAAATAGTCAACCCGAAAGT